CCTCCAAAATGTCGCCAAACTACCAGTTACCATATTGTAAAAATCAACCGAAAAGTGTGATAACCTTTTATGTTGACCTTACGCTTGGCGATGATTACAGATTTCAGTTAAATGTGCTAAGAAATGTTGACGAGGAAAAATTTCCTTCCGTATGCTAGAAATAGATTTTGTTAATGACACTCATAGGCCAAAAGATTACATTTAGGGCTTTTTGAACTAAGAATAAGTGATTTGTTATTCACATAAACCCAGAAGCAGCGCTAGAGGGCTCAAAGTTTTTCATTGCGATGACAATGCTTCTCAATCATCAATCAATTAACCCTTTGACAAGGGGTGGTCGCGCCCTGAAACCACTATTTTCTGAATTTTCTTCCTCCTCTTTTTCCGAAATTTTTGAGTGAAAATGAATTGATTACTGATCTTTAACATCTAAATAACACAAAATGACTGTAGAATCAAGTCATATATGTTTTAGGTAAACTTCAGATCGGATCCTTTTAAAAATTTGTTTTCAATGAGACAAAATAACTTCCTTTTATTGATATAAAAACTTTAAAATTTCAAAAGTTATCATCGTATATCATAATTTCTATCATAAACAATAAAAAATTGCAGTATTAAACGCATATATAAAAAAACCCCTATGTATGGCATTGTTATGGGTTTCAGGGCGACCACTGCGCCACTAGAGCTTTCTGTCACAATGCTTACAATCCTCTAGAGGCTCGGTGGTCCCGCCTTGAAACCACTGGCGTTTGCTTCTCAATGGTGTTCGCTTGCTTTTCAAATAGGAATGTTTATTTTTACCCAGATTTAGATTAGAAGGCCTTTGAAACCACAGAGTTATTTTATTACTAAACAATACATGCACCTACCCATTAAAAATGTCTTTCTTTTCCAAATACTTTTCTCTGACATCAACACACTTGCTCCCCAAGCTAGTATTGTGCTTTTATAATTTATTCCTGGGTGGTTTAAATTTAATAAAATATACTTTGCTATAATTAAAAATAGAAATTGCGTAAAAGTTTTATTTAATTAAAAATATTTTCTGAATATTTTGGGACGATATACGAATAAAATAAGTATGAATGGGAAACGAATGATCCGTACAAAGCCAAAAAGACCAAACCCGCTTCCATTAACATAAAAAACCACAAATTTCATGTGTCAGATGAAAAGAAACTAAATAACGCTGGGCATATACCAGTGAAATTTAAATCCAGGCAGTGTACATTTTGTAGCACAAGGAAGAAACCTCAAGAACAAGATGTATGTGCGAAACGTGGAATGTGAATCTATGCATGTACCAAAGAGACAAAACATGCTTTGAACAGTGCCACACACAAAAAAAAAAAAAAATCTTTGAAGTAAAAAAAAAAAAAAAACCACTAAGTTCTTTTTATCTTTATTTTATTGAGTTTTTTAATCCATTTATCCAAATGTCCTTATTATGTAGGTACTTATATTTTCATTGCTATAGAAAAAATTACATAAATGTTTATTTTTTATTTTTTCTGACGATTTACTTTGTAAAATAATGTAAAAAATTATATATAATGCATCTTACATACATTTTTTTTAAAAATCCGTAAATTTTGTCATTTATTGGAAACGCGCGCGGAAAATGGTAAGTTTTTTTTTGCCACTACATCAGTAAGTTTCAAGTCCTAGACCGATGTGGTTTCAGTGCGACCACCACCAGACAATAGCAAGAGTAGATTTTTTTAATCATATATTATTTGTCTCTAGGATCATAATATTCAATTTCTAGAGTTTTTAGTTAAAGAAATTATAAAAATAATATCGCAAGCGTCAAAGGGATGGCGAAATCTATAGTGTGGTTCTAAATCCAGAAAATACCGCTACTGATAGTGAAGAAAGTGACGGACAGATTACTGAAAATGAAAAAATCTCAATTGACAAATTAGTCTGAATTCTTGACACACCAATTACAGGACTTCAACTATGTAACTGAACAAGAAATTATGTCTGTCTACAGAATTAAAAAGAAAGCTTTAATACCAAAAAAAAAAAAAAAGAAGCAACTTAAACAACTTATAGTAAAAGAAATGTTTAAAGTAGACAAATATTAAGCTTTTTTAAATTTTGATACCCTTAAGATCATAAATGCTTCATTATTTCATAAAACATCCGGATTTGCGGAGGCCCACCAGCGGCCGAGCGGTAAAGATGCTGAACACTGGTAGTTCGGTCTGAGGTTCGAATCCCGCAAACGGGCTGGCTGCATGGGCGTTTTCGTGGTTTTCCCCATGTGTAACGTGTATATGAGCCAGTTTCCCTTAGAAAGTCCTCCACAAAGGCATCCCTCCCTTTAGGCAGATAGCCCTTGTGTGCTTTGCCATAATTGAATAATCCAATCCAATCCAATCCGGATTCGCGGAAGTCCCGACAAGTCCGTATCTCGGACTTTGTACTGTATTAAAAATTTAAACCTCCATTTTACTGTTTGTAATAAAGTATTTAATTCATATGAATGCTAAATTTTTAGCTTTGTTTTAATTTTTGAAAGAGCATAATAATAATAAAATCGGCAAATGTGAATATCATCTCTCATAATTTGCAAGACAACACAATATAAATCCCATTTACAAGTTTAAACTTGTACATGGGATTTATACAATACGTTGGAACTTGTACTTGACTTATATGTCATAAAAATAAAATTTATAAAATTTTTGTGGATTTGGATGAATGTCAGTGCATTGTATAGAATTAAGATGTGGTTTTTTAACCTGTAGTAATGTTAGTAATTTTACACTTAATAATAAATCTGTTATGGGAGGGAATCGACTGAATTCTGAGTTAACGAACAGTAAGTCGATTTTTTCCTAGATTAATGTAATTTTAGTTGCTTGGCAATCAGTGGAGAGTTACAATGCAAGCTTAAAAAATTTGCCAAATTTAACTAAATATTCTTCAGATTTAGTTTGAATTGTTAGCAAATACAGTCAAAAGTCGTTAATCCGGACTCGTCTGGCGATTCCGGATTATCGATTTTTCCGGATCATCAGTTTAAATCTTGTAAGATGGCATGCAGAAATTCTAAAATTAAAAATATGAAACCATAATTTATGAAATAAAGAACAATTATGATCTAAAGGGTATCAAAATTTGCAAAAAGAAAAAGCTTAATATTTATTTGTTTACTTTATTAAACATTTCTTTCAATGTACGTTGTTTAAGTTTTGCTTCGTTTCATGTGATAATACTTTCTCTTAATTCTATAAAACAGACATAATTCTTGTTCAGTTACAAAGTTCCACTGTTCAAGTCCTATAATTGCTGTGTCGAGAACCGACTAATTTGTCAATCGAAATTTTTTCGTTTTCAAACCTCTGTCACTTTCTTCGCTATCGGAAGCGAATTATAATGACGAGGAACTTGTTTTAAATCATATCAAAGACGGAGTAACACCGAGATGAAATACTACATTTAGTAAGGAATTATAAGCCAAATAAAATAAAAACATCTGCCCTGAAGATAAGGATAGTGCTGACAGATCAATTTCCAATTCATTGCGCGCTGCGGCGTCCCCCCCTCCGAGCAGCGTGAAATTGATAAACATATTTCGGATTTCAAAACATACTTTTGCTTGTAGATCCTTTACATATTAGTAAATATATATCGGAAATTCTATTTGACATAATCGAAAGTTTAAGCTTACTTTTATAAAATTGCTCCTAACAGTCTGCAAAAAATAATAAGCCGGATCCGATTCGGAAGATTAAGGAACAACGCAATCATGCAACATTAACCTGAAATAGATAATTAGATAATTTTAGCTTATACGTCCCATTATACATTAAAACGCGCATGCGAAAACGTATTCTGCCTTGCGCACACGCATATGCGCAGTCATAAAAATCTTAACGCGAACGCGTAAATGCCTATGCGCATGCGTCAAAGAGACGCATGCGCAGAAAGTTTGTAGCTTTGAGGTCCGGATTATATTTCATTCCGAATTATGGGTGTCCGAATTAAGGACTTTTGACTGTAATTTATGAATTATATAATACTTAAATATATTTATTATTTTTGACTGAACAATTGAAATTATTTATCAAATGTTCAGTAATGCAATTTATTGATCTAGTAATTGCTAGTTTGTTTTACTCAAAGAGTAAGTTCTTGAATTAAGTGAATCAAAATTCAGTCTTGCACATTATTCTGAAACATATTCTAAATTGTTCTCAAAACCGTTTTCTAAGGGGAAAAAAAGAATTGTTCTATCTAATAAAGAATGTTAATATATTTTTATAATGACGACAAAATTATATTTTCGTGTAACGACTGTAATTTTAGCTACATCTAAATGTGTGTGGTTGTGACTTTTCTCACTTGTCTTACGATACATCAGGACAAGCTGACATAATTCATTGTGGCAAGAAGTGCAAAATTGTGCCTTTACTATCTGTATAGATAAATTTGTAAACAATATTAGCAATGTTTTGTGAGATTTTAAAAATAAGCTGTAGTAGTAGTCATAAAGAGATCTTAATTAAAAATGTAAAACTTAAAGTAGTCGCATTTATGAATTCACATCAGTGTCCAAGAAATTAAAATTTATTATTTACATTAGTTTTAAAAAGATCACTATCCACGACAATTAAAAAAATTATGCAGCATTATTTTTTTTTGTAATTAAGCTGGATATGCCATTCTGTTATTAAATAAGAAATTGTTAGATTTTTATCATTTGTAATATTCTCTTTCAGTAGTAATGAAATTTTACATTTGAGAGTTTAAAAATATACTAAATGATTTTTTTTCCTTTTTTATCATTTGAATTTTTCAGATTATTAATTTCCAACTGTTAGTTTTTTTAGCATAATTGTAATATATTTGGATGAAATTCATTAAATTTATCATTTTCACTTAATTTTATCTCCCAGTACCTAATCTCAGTCATTTATCTGAAAGTTATACTTTATAAAATGACATGCTGATTTCACATTTTCCGTTTATTTTTTCTTTAGGGTCATGTAAAGCTTTTGAAAGGAAATTATGATCCAGATGAAATGCCACAAAATTATATTACTGATTTAGTGGCCATATGCATCGAAAAATGTTGCCTTAAAGTCTCGCAGCCTCAGAAAAATTCTTCTAAGGAAGTAATATCAAAAGAAGGAGTTTTCAGTTCCTATGATCTTTGTGGTGCAAAATTTTTAATTCTGCCAAAAGGATTATCAAAAAAGAGGTAAAATAACTGTTAACTGTTCATGAAACATTGTTATTATAAGAAATGCAGGCTGTACTTCTCATAATAGAAGTGGAAACTGCAGTTCTGTTATGAGAAATATAGCTCCTACTTCTTCAATTAAAATTTAGCATTGGTTAAGATTTTTATCCCTAGAATTGCTAAAAGGAATGAAATCACTCATTTAATACTTTTTTATAACTGTGTTCTCTTAAAGCATTTCACTACTAACTCTGGTACTCTCCGATTATTTGTAGCACTGGTGAAAAACCAAGAAAGGTATTGATGAGTCAATTTACCATATTGCCAAACAATATTTATGTAAAAACCCACTGTTGCCAAAACTTATTTGTGTGACATTTGATGTATACATGTAGCATGCTTCCAGATGGCTTTCAGCTTCTCTGGACATTTTGCCTGTGTGACTGCAGATTGTGATCTCTCCTATGTGAATTTTATCATTTCAGCATAACGGTGGACTACATACAGAAGTTTTCATCATCTTTTGGGAAATCTGCAACTTTGCATTTTCTTCTGAATCCATAAGGTCTCTTCTTTTTCATCTTCTCAGATAGTCTTTATTATGTCATTGTCACTCAGTTTTCCCACTGACTCCCAAGTCCTTACATACTCAAAAAAAGTAACATTATCACATTTAAATTTTTTGAATTCAGGAAAAGTTGTATTACTGTCATCACATTCTTCAATATAATTGTTCTCTTTGGCATGCATGAATTTAACATGACGAAAGCAGTTACTAATTGTGCTTTCTTTAACAGCATCCCATGCAGAATATAGATCCTTTATAGTTGTCAGCCGAGTAATGTTGTAGTTTCCACCACAATCTAAAGAAAAAAATTATTTATTTTAAGATTGTAGAGGATTCCTTGATCCATTGGTTGTAGCTTTGTAGTTGTGTTTGGCAAATATTCAACCTGTGTGGAACTTGGTTCTGGAAATTTATTGTGGCAGGTTGCATTATCCACAAATAAGAGAACTTTACGCTTTTCCCTTGAAAACTGCTTTTCTATTCCTTTTAACCAGTTCCTGAAGATATCTTGTGTCATCCATGCTTTTGTATTATATACATAATCAACTCGCAATGTTCGAATTCCTTTAAAACACAGTGGATTCTTGGACATTCCAGTCACTAATAATTTAAGCTTTTCACTCCGATCCATATTAGCATGTAATCCTGCTGCTTTTACCTTTATGCAAGCATCCTTAAAATGTAATGTCTTGTTTGGCAGGAGTTTATAAAAAAATACAGCTTCGTCTGCATTAAAAATATCTTTCAGCAGGTTAAGTAGAGAAAAGCCCTTGCAGTTTCCTACCGACATTAGTGCATACATCTTCATTTACATCAGAGCTTTTGCCAAATGCAGTTTGATTAGAAATATTGTGCCTTAATTAAATCAAAAAAGCTATCCATCACTGCACTTAAAAGCTTCAATACCCATTTATTTGACTTGGCAGTTTATCAGCCTTCGTCTGCAATAGAGTTTGTTTAACAGAAAATTTCGAGATCTAGCCTCCTGGAACCATAGCAGAGCTTCTTCTAGATCTTCTTGGGACGTATTTCTCATGCATTTCCTTCCTCAAGCAAATTTAGATTTTCTTCATAAATCTAAAATTGATTCCTTGTTTTTCAAATAAGTTTGACAAGGTTTTTTTTTTTTTTTTTTAAATTCCATATTCAGCTGAAAACTTTGTTTTACATTTGGCATTCTTTACTTTCTTTAAAATTTCAACCTTTGTCTCCAAAGTTTGAGTTTTGTACTTTCCACATGTTCCATCCTGAAGTTTTACACATTCACACATACTGAGGAAGAAAAATTGAGCACATTAACCTGTCTGAACTGCAGACATAGCTGACAGATCTCTGTAGAATCTATGGCTGATCTTTGGAATATGGTAACTGGTAGTTTGGCGACATTTTGGAGGCGATAAAGGTTACTACCTAGGACTTTGGTAATAATGTGAGAAGCACTCAGTTCCGATTACGCATTATTTTGTGTGAGGGAAATGAGAGATCATGAGATATGTCATGTGACATTAATGGGGAAATTACAGTTGTTTAATCGGAAAAGGGGGGAAATCTGGAAATTTCGTATTTAGCTATATTCTGTGTTGTGTGAAACGTGACATTAATGGACGAATTACAGTTCTTTATTTGGAAAAGGGGGTTAATTTGGAAAAGCTTCATTGTGTGTTGTGTGAAATAGTGTTGATTAATTTTCGGATTGCATGGATTTTGGATTGCATTTCGGATGCTATGTAAAGTGAATTCTAAATTTTTAATGCGTTTATCTGATAATAATAATAAGTTGAGATTGTGTGAAAGGAAGGATATTACAAGTTTAAATGGCGGTGCAAGAAATATGGCGAAAAGGAGTGTAAGGAAGGGTACGTGGTTTGCTGAAAGTAGTTTGAGTATAGGTGAAATTTTATTAATTTCTTATTACTTGGTGAATAGACTTCCAGTTGACTACTGGATTTAGAAATTAGCAGTAGTACTGCAGCAACGTAATGAAGATTCTGAAGAAGATTAGTTAAGTTAGTATTTTTAATGATTTGAGGATATTATTTTTATGCATTGTTCTAAATATAAGGAGTAAATAAATTAAAATGGTATTATTTGAAAATTGTTATTAGCAATGATTTAGTTTAAAGTATTAGGATTGTAATCTAATTTTTATTAATTTAATGTATGTGCTTATTTATATTTTAAGTAGTGTTTTTAATTTAATTATATTTAATTTAATGATCGTGATTTTGTGAGTTATATGTTTGTAGTATTTTGGAATATGTTTTGAGTAGTATACGTTGAGTAGTTTCATGCATTTCGTGAAATTTTTCTAATTTATGAGAAAAAAGCAGTGTACATGGATATAGTGAAGAGTGTGCGCAATGCCATTTTTGTGCAATTCTGGGATTTTTTTTAAGTAAAAATAAGTCGACGTGTACATGGTTTAGTGATATTTTAATTAATGATAGTTATTTTGTGAATTTTATGTTTGTAGGAATTTGGTATACGTTTTAGTTGAAGTAAACGTGCATGAAAATAATTTAAATATTTGACACTAAGTATTTGTAATGTTTGCGGTATGATTCGTTGGTGACGTTTATAATATAATAGATAATTTAGAGGTAAAAGCTTTTAGATATTTTATTTATTTTATACGTGGAAATGTTTCATATTGGAAAGGGTATATACTTTTTCCGCGATAAGGTAATTTCGTATGTGTTTTTTACTGGGTTTAAAGATTCAGAAAATTGTCATTCATTTTCGTGAAATTTTTCTAATTTATGAGAAAAAAGCAGTGTACATGGATATAGTGAAGAGTGTGCGCAATGCCATTTTTGTGCAATTCTGGGATGTTTTTTTAAGTAAAAATAAGTCAGCGTGTACATGGTTTATGTGTATGTGTTATTGTGAAAAACGTGCAAGGTGTTTGCATTGTGCACTTTTTCCCAATTTTGCAGCGAATATTTGTCATGATTAAGCAGTTTTGTTAGATAAAATTTCTAGTATAAGTGTAATTTGGCTAGTAGATTGTTGGAAAAAGTGTTCAGTAAATAAAAAGAAAAGAAAAGTGTCTTTACTTCGTGAAGACAAAATGCGGGGAAAAAAAAAGAGGGTGCTGTAGCAGAGTTGGTCGCCATTTTCGCCAAAAATCGCCAATCCATAATCCAAAGATCAACCGAATCATTGTAAAGATTGTTTTCTGAATTTAAAAATGATAACAATAAACAAATGTTCTTCTCTACCTACCATTCATAGGTTCTATGAATTTGTGGTGATGGCGATAAGGAGCGCGCCTTGCGCCCTCCGATAAGTGTGGCAACCCTAGAGGAGAAGTTTCTTACGAGTAGCGAGCAGAGCGAAACAGGCAGGCTGTCGGGGGGGAGTATGCGCGAAGTTCCTAAATAAAGCTTAATTTTTATTGTGCACTATGTCTTGTTATATATTAATGCAGTAAGAACATAATCTGTGATATGGAATTCGAGGATTGGTGGTAAAAACATAACAGGAAATCACCATAATGGTAACCCGGACTGTGTTTAAATCGTATGAACAGTTCTCAAGCACTTTCGGTTTTGACTACAAGCCATCACTCAAGATCTCCAAACCAGAAGTAATGGATTACATCGGTTTTCATCCTCCGGATCACAGATGAGTAGTAATTATAGATCATTTTATAATTCTGTTTTCTACTTATCATTTAATTTCATTTTCTTTAGTTAAATTTTTGCTTTTATTTTGGCTTAAAAACCTTGCACAATGTCTGATGTTCATGCCGTCCAAATTCCGGTTTATAACCAATCAGACCCATCTTTATGGTTTATTATGTGTGAAAGTACCTTTGCTCTTGCCACCCCCCAAACCTATAACAGAATCCATTACTAAATATAATTATGTAGTTGCTCATCTTCCTCCAGATATTGCATCACTAGTACGGAATTTACTTATGAAACCAGACCCTATTGATCCATATACAAAGCTTCAAAACTGAGTTAATAAATCGTTCAGGAGAATCTTCTCAGCAAGAAATTCGCCAATTATTATCTGGAGAAGAATTAGGTTCTCGAAAACCTTCCGATTTGCTTAGAAATATGAAACGTCGAGCAGAATCTTTAAATGTTCCTGATAACTTAATGTTAGAATTATTCCTTCAACGTTTGCCTTCGACTGTTCAGTCTATTTTGGCAGCGGTTTCCAATTTAACTGTAGATAAAGCTGCAGAAATTGCCGACAGAATTTTAGAAGTAAATCCAACCCCAGGGACTTGTGCCGTTTCTCGCACAGTCGATCAGTCTCTTGAGGATAAATTATTTAAACAAATAGAAAAAATTAAACAAACGTATTGATCGCATTTCTCTTTCTCGTGGTCGCTCGCCAAATCGCGGAGATCGCAATAAGGAAAGAAGCAATTCCAAAAGGAGAGATTATTCTGTTTGCTGGTATCATAGACGTTTTGGGGAAAAAGTGTAGAGAT